CATGGATTTGCCCCAGTCCTACCCCTCTCAGCACCACTGACTGTGATTTAAGATTACTTCTTTCCATTCCCTATATTCCAATAAAAAGATGCTAAACTATAATGAGAAAGGGTTCCCCCCTTTTTCTTTATCTTAGCTCAAAGCCTCTTTCCTAATCACAATCACAATTGTACTTGACAATAATGGTGCTGCAGTTGTTACACTAAATCACAATTAATTGCAAAAATTAACCTTCTTTAATGAAAAATGAAAGAAAGGCATGGTCAATCTCAAATAATTAGAAATTGAACAGTGTTCAGGGAATGGAAAAAATTACTTTTTTGTCTGGCTGGGGCAAAAGGGGGGGTTGTTTTCTTTAAAAGGTAAAGCTATGTCTGTGTTATATGGCACTAGATTTTATTTAACAACCTCCTCTCTTCACTTTTATGATGGAACCCTTCCTTTCTTTCTGTGATATTTTCTTCTTATTAAAAAATTATGAAAAACACACATTGGATTAAATCTAACATTGGTCCTATCTAGACTAGGCCCATTGATAGTGTGATTTCAATTGCAAGCCCTATTCATTCTAGTTGTAGATTAATGTTGTACCCTACCTCTTTCTCTCTCTTTCCTTCTATATAAATCTACAAAAATATGGTTCATCTAATGTACAGTTGGCCCTCTGTATCCACAGATTCAACCACTCACAGCTTGGAAAAAAATAATTCCAAAAAGCAAACTTTTTGCCATTTTACATAGGTGCACCATTTTACTATTCCACTGTATATAATGGGACTTGAGCATCTACAGATTCTGGTAACCACAGGGTAACCAAACCCCAACAGATATCAAAGGTGGAGGGTTCCTATACATATGCATTTAAATGCATCAAGATGTACATCTAAGCAAATTACTTCAGTCCTTATACAATTCAAAATGCGGTATCCTATAGCATCCTCTTTTATGTAAAGCAGGGGTAGGCAACCTTTCCCCTTTAAGGGCCGAGGGACTTCAACTCCCAGAATCCCAGGAGCAATTGGCCAACATGGGACTATTGGCCAACATGGCTGAGGCTTCTGGGAGCTGAAGTCCCTCGGCCCTTAAAGGGGAAAGGTTGCCTACCCCTGATGTAAAGCATGATGTGGTGAAGGAGGAGGGGGAGAATGAGACAGTGGGTAAATTTTCTACAACTGAAACCCATTCAGAAGTCTCAATAACATTTTGGCACTACCAATTAACTTTTATGATCATTGAGAGAGATGAATTTCAAATTATGGCTGCAATGTTTTGCTTTTAATATGCCTCTAAATTATGTTCAAGTTATTATATATATTGTAGGGAGCACAGCAATCACTAAATCTCAGAAGATGAAACAAATTAATGTAAAACTCTGGACTGAGATTGTCTCCTTCACCTGTTGAGAATGTGTCCCAGAGGATCTCTGTAAAGAGAAAACCAAAATATTATTTCACACAGATTCATTAAAATGTTATCTTTCATATGTTCATGGTGGGGAAAAATTTCACTCCTGGGAAATTGTTTTCATGCTGTTCCCCACAGAGGATGATAATCTGTGTATTACTTGTGAAAGAGGGGAAAAAATGCTTGTCATGTCTGGATAGTTTGAGATGCGAAATGTTGCTTGGAAATCCAGAGACAGATAAAAGCCAAATAAACAGGTGGATCATGTAAACTTCCAAAAATAGCTAAGCCATGTTGTCTTCTGCTTTTTTGTCCAAACAAGGAATTTTATAACATTTAATAGGAATAAATATAATACTCTCTTATTACTGTTTCCCAGAATTACAGCAAGTGCATGAAAATATCTACAAAAACAACAGAAAATGAATGAAAGCTGAGTAAAAAATGGAAAGGGGGTTGGGGGCAAGTGAAACACAAACTTTGTTTTCTTTTTCTTTTACTTGCTTGCATGAGATTTTATAGAATTGATCTTAATTGTACGTTAAGGGGCAAAATGTTGTGCATAATGGTGGTAGATCATTCCTTGTCTCATTCTCCCTATTTTGCTATTCCCAATGCCAGATCTATGCATACATAAACTACAGTTTAGGACCTCATGTTACAAGAGGCTTCTAAATACATTAGAAAATAAACATTTTTGTCATTCTGTAATTCTAGTAGTAGACCTCTCAGGTCAATCCATCTTAATCTGGCCTTGACTACTCCCATGCTCCCTCCTATACTTTTGGTTCTAGTTTCAGATCTACTCATTCTACTGATCACTTGCTTCCTAGATTCTTATTTTTCTCTTTTTCTGGGAAAAAGTGTAGCACATGCAGTCCCAGTCTCCTGTCACACCTTTCAACATACCGGTGTAGGATTTATGTGTCCTTAAAATAGGACATAAACATGTTGCACTTGGGAGTGCTCCCACGTAGGATTCCAGGTAGCTATCTCTTTTGTTCAAGATATCTCATTCCATCCTATAGTTTTCCATTCCCCACACATTTTGTGCCCCCTAAATATGCTTAAATGTCATTGGGCTATTTCCCTATCCTAGGTTTGGCCCTCCCCAAAGAATAAAAATGGGGAGCTAACCAACCAACACTACCTTTCTCTTATGTATGGATATTGCTAGTTCAGCTAGAATGACTGACACTTGGAGAATGAGCATGATATTACTACAAAGGGTGTGAGGTAATTCATACTGGGCAATATTGTGAATAATTCAGACCTATTACAAAAAACAAATCAACCTGGAGGTGATGGAGTAACAATTGACCATCAGTTGTTCCAATTTCTGGAGTGTGAGGCATACCCTTCTGTCAGAGTGAGTCCTGGAAAACCATTTTGGCTGATCTGGCATGCTATATTTGTCAGAAGAGCTGCAGAAAATATTTCTGTTTATAGCTTTAAGGATGACTGCATGTATATAGCTGGAAATTTGCTTGTTTTCATATCATACAGTTAACTGATGGAATTGATTGTTATCAGATAACAAGGACAAGCCATGATAGAAGATGATGGCCCTTTTGCCCTGCTTCATGTGCTGCTTAGACATCTATGTACACTGTAAAAAAAATAAGAGCTAGATTGGGCAATCCTTGGTTTCATTCACCAAGACTCTCCTTATATTCATGGATTCTAAAATATGATCAAATTAGCTTATCCCTTCTGTCTCAGGTGTTCCATTCCTCTCCTTGGATGGATGCATCAAATCAGAATATCACATCTTCCACTATGCACAGCCTAGTTATTTTTTTTTTTTTTTGATTCAGCAAAAATCATTCTGCACCCCCACCCCAATATATACCTGGATTATATTTTATATTCAGAGTAAGATGCTATTCCCATGTCTAATATTTAGACATATAATTCTTCCTGGCATACTGCCAGGCAGAAGCAACACTAACTGGATGTATGGAACAGGTTTGTCTTAGTCATTTCTCTTTAGTCAGGGACAAGTCAAGATGTTTGGCCTACGAGTCCCATCACACCTACCCAGCATGGGCAATGGCAGGAAATGGTGAGAATATTACTTTAACTATCTGGAGGAATAAAGTTTCCCCAGCCCTGCTTTAGGTTCTACTCAGGGTTTTATGCATAACACCCCTTGGCTTTCCCTTAGGATTTCTAGAGCCACTTGAGGCACATTGTCTCTGAGGTAATACCAAGAAAGTCCCTAGCTTTTGACAATTCCAACCCATAGACAGATATTTCAAGAAGCCCAGTTTTGTCTAGCAGGGCCAACAGATGTTTCCTTGTGTGGTAAAAGAATCTGAAACCAGATCTGTTAGCTTTCTGAAAACTTCAGGAAATTGAAATATTCTGAAACACTTGTTTAAACAAAGTTTAGAGCAGCTGCCGCACAAATGGTTTTACTATTTCATCTTACACATACAGCCACCCAGCACTCCAGAAGGCCCTTATAGTCCACTATGAAAACTAAAGAATGACAAAATACAACCAAATGAGCAGAAGCTCCTGACAGGGAAGTGACCACTATGTAGATAGACAATTACTATGTTGTCACAAAGTAAAAGAGACAATGTATAATCCCAGAGTATATTTGCCTGGCTAATCTAAATAATAAAAAAAAGAACCACAAAGTAACTGTTTTATTGAGTTATTATAGAATGCCTACCAAGCAACTGATTAATTCAAAGTTGGTTCAATGCATCACTGACTCCCTCCAAAAACCTGTTAGGGGGAAGTGTAAGGACTGCTGTGGTAGTCTGTCATGACCTGTTGACAACCAAAACCTGATCATTTATCATTTGTTATTGTTATTTATAACTGCTATCTATTCAACTTGGATTTAGGGTGACTATGAATGAGAGACCTCCAAGTTATGAATCATGAAAGAGTCTTGGTTTGATCTAGGATCCATTCATTTGTCTTTTCAGCAATCCACATATCTGTAGAACTCTTCTCCAGTATCACATTCTGAATGTGTAGATTTCCTTCTTATTATCTTCTCTCATTTAAGATGATGCCAGCCATCAATATTAAGCTGCTTGATCTAGCTAAATCTCAGTCTGGGATTGCTAATTGCTCTGAAGCAGGGTTGGAAAAGTTCTTTTTTTGAAATAAAACTACAGGAATCTCCCAGCCAGAACTAAATTAAAGCAACATCTAATTTTTATATCCTGTTAGGTTATCACCTTAATTCTGAATGTTGATTTAATTCTCTTAGTAGACCTTGGACTTTGCCCTACTTTGCCCCATCTTACTTTACTTTCTCAAATCAGAACCTTTCCCTGGAGAACTTGATATAGGCTGCAACCCACATACTGCTGACACCTTCACTTGGAATAGATCAGGGAACTGAATCCAGAGATCTCAAATCATTTAATTTTCCTTCCATGATCACACTTTATGGACATCGTTGTTGTTGCTGCTGCTGTTGTGTGACTTCAAGTAGTTTCTGACTTATGGAAACCCCAAGGCAAACCTATTGTGGGGTGTTCTTGGCAGGTTTCTTCAGTGGGGGGTTGCCATTATCACCTTCTGAGGCGGAGAAAATGTGACTTGCCCAAAGTCACCCAGTGGGTTTCCACAGCTGATTCAGGATTTGAACCTGGTCTCCAGAGTCATAGTCCATCGTGCAAACCACTACACCATGCTGGCTTTTATGGACTTGGCCAAGTCACTCTTACTCATTTCCTTTCTCAAATGGGATCTATTTGACTCCAGCTTGCAGATTTTAAAAGGGGCAAACACAATAGAGAATGTTGGCTGTAAACTTCAAGTATTAGACACATGACTACTAGTAAGAATTATTTAAATGCATGGTTTCTGTCATGGTTTTGGTGTAAACTGCATGGCTATTATTATCAAAATTAAGAATGCTATTGTGTCCTTTGTGGCATATGCAGTTGATAGATGATACTATGAACACATTGAAACCATCAATGTCAGTACAAAAGGTGATATTGTATCCCCTTAGCTCAAGTGTGATGGATTAAATCTGGAAAAACCTATAATGGGTCTGTAATAGGATTCATTGGAAGACTCTGCCCTGTATTATTTTCTGATTACAGTGCTGATTTTTTTTCATGCATCATTGTGCTGGAGATGGAACTCATATTTTATTGCATAGGAGGATCTAATTCCCCACCACCACACACATGAAATTCCTGTACAAGGATCTTGATATAGTGGGGGACAACTGGCTACTAAGTGCCATCCCCCCCCCACAAACGATATCAAGATCCTTGTGAATGAATTTCATGTGTGCAGTGGTGGGGAATTAGATCCTCCTGTGCAATAAAATAGTCTTTCTATTCACAGGTGCACTTCACATCTACAACATTTCTGCATCCAGTGTTCTAACTCTTCTGAAGATCCACTAGTCATCAGATTATCATCTATATCAGCAACATTTGCTTAAAATCAATGACATTGTATTTTAGAGCAAGAACCATCATGATAGCAATTAGCTGTTTAGTGGTACATTGTGGGCATCCTAATGGAATACAGCAATTTAGCATGTTAGAAGCACTACCCCAGAAACAAAAGTTGCAAAAAAGAAAAGAAAAAAGTATTGTCTTTTGAAGGTGGGGTGAGGGATGAAACAACTTGGGGGGGAAGAGTTGCAGCCTAGCAAGAACTCTTCTTGGGATTATTTTGACCCAAAATAAAATTTGAATATGTTTCCCCTTTCTTTTAAATATAATCTCCTCTGAGGCTATCAGTGTTGATAACACTACAGAAAAGGGAGTTACATAAGAAATTAGACTGTGGGGTGGGAGATGTTGAGCCCAGTAGGGAATGCATTCATTCTCTTCATTGGACATCTTTTTTTCTCATTTTCATTTTGCTTTTGAGCCTATGTGCAATGCTGTGATCTAGATCTTACCCACAGATGTTCTTTCCAGTTGTGTTGCTTGGCCCTCTTCCACAAGAATAAAATTTGTTAGAAATTGACAAGTGCAGTTGCACGTAATCCATGGGTACTTGCCTTTAAACATGTGACCATGGTCTGGATCTGCACAATGTTCCACATCACCAAAAATTAACTTATTAATTAACTTGCTGAATTGTTAATTTACTAGTCTCCCTAGCAAATTCACTCAATTTTTCAGATTCCCCACTTAACACTGAAGTTGAAAGTATGCTTTAGTGAATGAAGTTATTAGAATTCATTAGAGTGGATGCCTCTCCCATGTTACATTCAGTAAAACAAGAAGAATAAGTTTTAAAATTGGAGGGAATGTGCTGTATGGCTGTGTTGTTAGGCAAACTAATCTGTGTGTGATGTATTTAGGAAGACAGAAGGGAGAAGGAAAGAGTGGGAACTTTTTGGTCACATAACTGAGCTTCTGAGCAGAACAGCTAAGTTTAGGAAAGAAGAAAAGAAGGAGAACAGAAAAAGAGAAAGGTGAGTCTGGAAGGGAATGGAAGTGGGAGGGAATCATCTTGAATCCCATTTTGGGAGAAAGGTGGAATATAAATCCAATGTATAAAATAGTAGGAGACTATGGCCCCGAAGCAGCCAAACCCTTTCAGAATGCCCCTGATGAACCTTTATAGAAGGAAATTGTTTTAAAGCCTTTGTGTGGGGTTGGTATGCATGTGACACTGTTCATGATGTATCCTCTATTTATTACGGTACATTCTGGCCTGGTTTCTATTGTATATTGTGGTATAATATATAATTATTATATAATTTTGTGCCCTTTCTGAAAGCCCTTTTAGGACAGAAAGCCAAGTGCCTTCCCCATGTCACTTGTAGGAAGGGAAAGTGTTCAGATTCTTTTAAAGGTAGAGGAGCAGAAAGTGAGAGTGCACTTTATTTAGTATTCCCTGCTTTGATTATATTCTGGACTGATTTCTACTGCATATTATTGTATAATATGCATTATACAAGTTGAGTCTTCCTTATCTGCAATTCTAAAATCCAAAATGCTCAAAAACCTAAAACTTTTTTCATGAGTGGCTCAGGACATGTTTGCTTTCTGGTGGTTCAGTGTACCCAAACTTTGTTTCATGTAGAAAATTATTTAAAATATACCGTAGTGTATAAAATCAGGCTATGTATATATGAAATATAAATAAATTTTGGATAAGGTGTTGCACTGTACCCTCAGGACTCAGTGAGACAGAGTGGAAGATGAGGCAAAGAGAGGCCAGAAACAGAGGGCCATGTTAATGAGAAAGAAAGCCAAGAAAGCAAGGCAGTTTCAGAACAACAAGACACAGTGCTACCAGTACCTACCATAGCAGACCCTCAGAGAGAGGCACAGCATAGGATGGAGCATTTAAATACCAGATGCTCATTAATCATGGAACAATTACATAGTCATAACTGACCATAAATTCTGGCACCTCCCTCGAGCAACTGGTTGCTCACAAACATCCTTTCCTGGTAGATGCAACCTTCCTGACTCATGTTCCAGATTCGTATTGCCTTGCTCAATTTGCAGACTATGCTTTTGGATCACCCTTTTGGACTGTTGTTTGGACTGATTGCTTGACTGTGCTTTACTCAGACTAATCTGACTACTCTGCTATATCATCATTGCTGTTGAGACACCAGAACAGGACATAAGGGATACTCAACCCCTAATATTATTTGGAAACAGCTGCAATGAACCCTTTGCAATTCTTTAGTGTATTACTCACACAAGTACTAGGATCTTAGATAATTAAGTGACATGTTTCCCTCTAAGCCATCCCTCATTTCTTTCTCTCTTAGTATCTTTCTTGTTCCCCCTTTTCATCCTTCCCATTCACCACCTCCTCCTCACCCACTTTCTTTTATTATACAGTTAAAGTGATATGGCTGCAGAAGAAAATGGCCTGGTTATTAAAACTGCATATGCTACATGTTGTATTTGAGATAACTAGTTCTATTTGGAAAACATCCTGTGCTCTACCACTGATTTTTGGAGACCATGTTTCTTGATTGGGAATGGAGAGCCAAAAAGCATTCTGTGATTCAATTGTGTAGGAAAAAAATATTCTACATATGTGAGCCTCTCAAATATCAGATGAAGAATTCCCTGCTTTTGAGTCACTAATCTGTGGCTGTCTACATGTTGCTGTACTTGCAGTGGATCACTGTCCTGTTGTTAGCAACAGTGCATTTTTCTGAATTTTGGTGTGCGTATGAACTCCACATGGCCCCAGATGTACTCTGCAGTGGGAACCCCCCCCCAGTGCCTCCATGGCATGGTGAAGAGGTCATGCCCAGTTCACTTGGAAGACTGGAAAATCCCCAATCCCCATAGTCAGGCAGATAGTGTGGGAATTGCAAATGGACAACCATCACCTCCATAATCAAAAGGATAGGTGATATTGGCCTAGATGCTCACCTGATAGGCTGTCATGTCCTGCCTGGATGGGGATGAAGAGGATGAAGAGGACAAGTCAGAACATCCTCCAGGTCCTGAGTCTGCAGTGGAGGAACCCCAACCTGGTCCTAGCAGCTCTGCTTTCCCAGCTCCAGCAGTAGAGCCTTCAGCAGATGCTGTAACTTTGCCAGAGGCTCCACAACTAAGCCTCCTGACAACAGGGCCATTGGACATGGAGGAGGATCAGGGGACCGTGCCTATCTTCAGTCAGCATAGAGCCAAAAGGACGGGCCTCCGCTGCTCGAGGAGGCTTTATGAAAAACGCCGAGGTAATCAAGATGTTCAGCCCCAGCTGAGCTCTGGTAGCTCAGGAATTTAAGCAAGTAGGGAAGCACTGTCTCAGTGCCAGAGGTTATCTGAGCTCCCTGGAGAAAGCCTCTGTCTCTCCTTGCTTTAAACCCTGGACTCGAGCTTATCCTGGATTCCCGGTATCATTGACCTTCGGACTGCTGACTACATTTGGACCTCTGAATCCCTGGACCTTGGACTGCTTTGTTTCTCTGCCTCTCTGGAACCCTTGACTTACAGACCGTGTTTGACTCTTCTCTTGCTGCTTCCTCAGATTGGTAACCAGGCCTTTGTTTGGGGCTCTCCCTCACTTTGGCTATCAGCCCTGCTGCTGGCTTTTCAGGACATAGGCCAGCTAACGACTTAATTCTCTCCCATTTCTCCTTGAATATTGCCAGACCAGATTACCTCACCCAAACAATTAAACATCTTTGTCCAGGCTTCAGCCTGACAATCAAACACCTTTGTCCAGGCTCCAGCCAAGCAATTAAACACCTTGCCATGGGCTAGGATGAACCCTTGAAAACCCCTGGAATTCTTCCTTCAGTGTTGCTAGTGTAAATTCAGGGGGACCCTGCATCAATTAGTACTCTGATCTAGTTACTGGCACCTCCGTTTGACCCAAGCTCTCAAAACGGTCATGTTCCACACCACTTCACCCAACTGGATCCCAGAGAAAGCTTCATCTGTAGTAAGTATCACCCATAGTGTTGTGTCTGAAATTTTCCAAACTAACTCCTGATTTCCTGAGTCTTACATGAGTGTGTGCATGTATGTGAATAGCTGTGTGATTTTCCCCTTTACTAAATAATACTTTAATTGGAGAATTCTGTCCCTGCACCAGTTCTTAAATCCATGGGACTCTTGGGAGATGGTCTTGCAGGGTCCTTGTAACTGACCCCATCTCAATTTGAGCTAAATAAAATTCCCCATACTAGACTTTTGGCTATACTGTCACTGAAATAATTTCTTACTAACCTTTA